TCTTGACACACTTACATAGCTACCATCTTTGTTTTGATTACTAACTTCATTTTACCCCTTCATGATTCCAAACCAGATTCTTCAAGTTCTATGAAATAATGGATTGAAGAACCAAAGCCACCAGCTACTAAACGGTGGATTGAAGAACCAAAGCCACCAGCTACTAAATGGTAAACTTAAGGATCAAAACCGCCAGCTACTAAATGGTGGATTTAAGAACCAAAGCCACCAGCTACTAAACGGTGGATTGAAGAACCAAAGCCACCAGCTACTAAATGGTAAATTTAAGAATGAAAACCGCTAGCTACTAATTGGTGGATTTAAGAACCAAAATCACCAGCTACTAAACGGTGGATTGAAGAACCAAAGCCACCAGCTACTAAATGGTAAATTTAAGAATGAAAACCGCTAGCTACTAATTGGTGGATTTAAGAACCAAAATCACCAGCTACTAAACGGTGGATTGAAGAACCAAAGCCACCAGCTACTAAATGGTAAATTTAAGGATCAAAACCGCCAGCTACTAAATGGTGGATTTAAGAACCAAAATCACCAGCTACTAAACGGTGGATTGAAGGATCAAATCTGTCAGCTACTAATTGGTGGATTTATGGATCGAACACGCCAGCTACTAAACGATGGATTTAAGGACCAAAATTGCCAGGCACTAAATTCTGGATTTAATACCAAAATCGCCAGCTGCTAAATGGCCATCGGAACATATAGGTTTGGATTTCCCGAGCTTCAGTTAAGTTTTTTGGTCCACAGTGATGACTTACTACAAACGAATTTAGTAACTGTGGATAGAGAGTCAAAAATAAAAAAAATCTCTGGATTAAAGTAAAAGAAACAAATAAACAATAACAGAAGCTGGTTAATAAACTATTTATTTCCAGATTCACTTTGCTGGTATTTTGTTATTTTCTTTAATACAAACACATCTTGGCTCATAATGAATAAAATAAATATAAGCATACATAACTTCCCGGGGGAGCGTTGTCCTAGAACTCTAGTTCTAACAATGTCAAATCACTTACCC